GAGATTGAATTTGGGATTTTCAGCGCCTGCCCGTTAAAATAAACTACCAACTAAAAGCTAGCTGTTTTCCATCTTCGAACATAAGATATATATATATATTTTTTTTAATAATGAATTATACAATAAAAATAGTTTTTCTTATCTACTATAAGGTTTAAACTTGAAGAAAAAGTGTGGATAATAATACAAAATTTGTTAATTTTTTATTTAAAAATATGAACTTTACTAATTTTTAAATAAAGTAATAAGTTTTTTTAACTGTTTTTATTTAAAAATATTATCTTTGAATTTTATTATTTAAGAATTAATTGAATAGTTATAAAGTAATGAGTTTTTTTTAACTGTTTCTATTTAAAGATATTATCTTTGAGTTTTTTTTTTTATTTAAAAATTAATTGAATAGTTATAAATAGAAAAAAAAAAAGTAAAGTTGACATTTTTAAATACAAAAATTAAAAATTAATTACCTTATTTAAAAGTTAACCAAATTTATATATTTAAATAAAAAGAATTATCAAAGTTTGTATCTCTATTTGTATATATATTTTAAAAAAATTTTAAGATTTATAATATAAAGCTCAGATTTTAAGTAGTAAAACATTCCCCCTTAAAACCTGTCCCATGAAAATCCTATGGATTTCAATCGTTGTTTCCCGCAAAAAGAAACAAGGTGGTTAAGCTAAGAGCCTAAAAAGTAAAAAGGTCAAATAAAACACGTTTTCCCAGTTTGTTCAAGGTATAAAGGCATCCCATGGAATAGGATAATGAAAAAAAAGGAGACTAAAAGACAAGTGGAAGAGCGCAAGGCAGCTCATCATCATATTCATAATTTCAATATTGCCTTTTTGAAGCCAAAGACAGCTCTCAATAGAGTGTCTTTCAAGTAAAGCTCCAAAAATGTCATATGTGACAACCACCTTCTCTAAGGAATGCAAAATTCCATCATTCTTGCCCAAAAAGGCTAGGTCGAATCACCTTTCAATGAGTCTTTTATGCTATTCCATAAATACCTGAATATATACACCCACATAGATATCAAAAATATGATGACGACATGCATCTAAAGGCCATACCTAATTACCTATGATAAGGTCAATTCATCATCATCTCTAGTAGTGGGCATGTGCTAACATAATCTTTATGCCATTCCCCTCTTCACTACACCGATCATTAAGGGGATAGTAATTTGCAGGCCCAAGTTCCCTGTAGGTTACTTTAATGACAATGATTTTGAAGATGATTACCTATCCTATAGGATGGAAATGCTATGGGTACATTTACTTCTTGGTATTGGATATTACTTTTGAATACCCTGTTTTGTTTGGGGTCACCATTCAAAGTTACATTGTGTTTTTACTAGTTACAATTGTTGGATGAACCAGGGCATAGATCTGCCCTCTCCATTATTACTAGAACTAGAACTATTTGGAGAGGTGCCCAGAAGTTCAATATTCAGATACTGAATCCTTAAGACATTCGCTTTCTTGTTGCAACGGGGAAAAAAAAAATGGTCCCTGCCTTGCTCGTTTGGAATGATCATATCTCTAACTCTTTAGAAGGGGAGGGAGGATTTATACCTAATAAATGAGTTTGACACCAGCTCAAAAGTGAACAGTGGTCTCCCCCATAAAGTGCATCTCAAAATGTCAAAAACGCGTGTATTACATTAAAAACACGTCTATAGCTTACCCAATGCTGGCTTAAGTCTCTCCTATAAGCCTCTCTTACATTCTTCAACTTTCTAGGTAGGTGGGGTTGGGTTGGTGAGTCTAGGTCCTGGCATCTTAACCCTTCTCCTGTTTTGTTCAGAAATGTTGCAGATTGACATTATGGAAGAAAAGGAATTCAAGAAAACAAAATTCATGTGATTAAACCATCCTTAACAATTTTATTTTCCTAGAATTAATAATGAAAATGACTAAAAATCTATTGCAGAATCAAGTCAGCATTTATACAATCCTTACTAACCTCTCTTTTTTGATTCAATCCTTTGCTAGGTTTTTTGCCGCGTAAATCTTCAAATAGCATTAAGCCCCAATCAACAAGAACTGCTATTTGAACCTGAAACAGGCAGTTCCGAAATAGGAAACAACAATTAAGGGGTATATACTTCAAATCAAAGCTACATTTTCCGTGTTACCCATCTGTGCAACAAAGCTAAGACAAAGCGAGAATATAATTCAAGGTTTCACATGCTCAATTTCCTCTATTTGATCATCAAAGAAAAAGTACAAGAATAATAAAAACACCATGTATCGCTGGCAATATGATTTCTTTCTCTCTTTTGTTTACTTCTCTTTTAAGTGTCTGGCACAGTCTCGACGACTTGAGATGCTAAATCTTCTTGGCCTGCTATGTTCCTCTGTAGTATATTTCCTCTGAATACAAGACATCCAAACTCTATATCTGCTAATAACTACTTGAGCATGCTTAACTACAGGAACTATACACAATCTCTTACAGTGTAACTGTAGGCTGCAACAGGAATTGATTATCAACTAAGTAATGCAAAGCAGTCAATTAGCTTTTAAGAAAGTGGTACTTGGACTCAACATAACTCTCAGCATCCCACAAGAATGATCCAAAAGCAACAGCCTCTAAAACTAGCATTGTCAACCCAGAGAAAGTGATTGCAATCACTTCATCATTAGATGTGTCAATTGAACCATCCTCAAGAATCCTGATGTCAGGCCTCCCAAACAGTGCCTGTGTCTGCTTTTCAATCAAAGAAATAGCTTCCTTTGATCTTATGGTCGCATATCTCTGAAGTGTCTCAGCATCCAAATACATAACATAAGATCTAAGTCTGTGTGATTTTCCTTCAGAAGCATCCATGTATCCCCCTCCATCACCATCATCAGGTGGGATCTGAATCAGGGAATCTGGATCCCAAAGCTGTTTTCCTGGAGCTAGATCATTAAACTTGACCTGGTCTTTGTTGAAATCTGCTGGAAGAGTTTTCATGGTTCTCTCAAGTTGAAATCGTTGATCAACTCTCCTGAGAAAATATCCATACATGATAGAAGCAGCATATAACTTTCCAAGTTTGATTTTGCTAATCTGAACAATGGTATCAAGGGGCCCAACC